CTGGAACCAGGTTGACCGACGGTGCACTGGAACCAGATTGACCGACGTTGCACTGGAACCAAATTGACCGACGGTGCACTGGAACCAAAGTGGGCAATAGTGCATTGTAGTGGACATTGGAGCTGGAGAGGGCATTGCTGCACTGGACTTGTCTTGGGCAATGCTATGTTGGTACTGGAGAAGGCAGTGCTGCCCTTGGTATCGGCCCTACTGCTCAACAAGATCACACCTAATCTTCTACCTCATCTCCACCTTCTGGCACCTTCTCCCCATCCCTGATCTCCTTCCACGTCCATACACACATTGACCTCTGCCCTGATTATATGTAACAACAAGCAGTTCTACCCAGTTCGCATCCTGAAAATAAAAGGATGAAAATTAGAAGATAAGATTTGAAACAGAAGAAACAGAAAATGTTTTTCTAAAGTAATTAATGCATCAAAATGTTTCAATGAAGGGATCTGTTTGAAGCATTTCTTCTTACCAACAGATTTTATTCAACAATTAATTTCTTTCACAATTATTTTAATCCCACAATCATGAAGCACATGCCTAAAATCACAAAGTATATTGTTCAAAAACATTGCTTCGCATTTTCACAATGAATTTACTTTACTTGCTTCTAACTTAATTGGATTTAGAACTTTTTGCGGTATGATTTCTACTCATTATTTTATAAATTATTATCGTTATTCTCACAGCTCTTGGAATCAAACTTTACCACTATATTTATTTCCACAGCGTGTGTTAATACTCTGACTATTTCAGCATCAGTGTCAGAGGCAACATCTGTTGTAGCACCCTTTACATTTTCAGTGTGACTGCCTGAATTTTCAGTGTTGAAAACAATAAATATTTTGTGATAGGTCGTGTCAGAAGTTCTTCATTCGTCAGGCAAAATAAAGAGTTTTCTTGGTGATCCAGTTGTTACGATTATGACGATTGTTAATGTTAAGTATTGGGGCGACATCTTTAAGGTGAAATGAAGGGGCTTTTGTGTTTCCCAGTTTCCCTGACACTAAGCATAAGAACATATGAATTAGCAGCACGAATGAGTAGGCTAATCAGTCTCCTGACTCTGCTCTGTCATTCAATAAGATCTGATTATTCCACATTCCTGCCTCTTCTCAGTAACCTTTCACTCCCTTGTTTACCAGTAAGTCATCTACTTCTGTCTTAATAGTATTTAACATTTCCTTCCACTGCTTTTTTCAGGAAGCAAAATTATAAAGTCATAGAGATGTACAGCATGGAAACAGACCCTTCAGTCCAACTTGTCCATGCTGACCAGATGTCCTAAATTAATCGAATCTAATTTGCCAGCGTTTGGCCCATATCGCTCTAAACCCTTCCTATTCATGTACCCAATTAAATGTTGTAACTGTGCCAGCCTCCACCACTTCCTCTGGCAGCTCATTCCAGACACACATCACCCTCTGCATGGAAAGATGCCCCTTAGGTCCCTTTTATATCTTTCCCCTCTCATCTTAAACCTATGCCCTCCAGTTTTCCCCTACCCTGGGGAAAAGACCTTGGCTATTTACCTTATCCATGCCCCTCATGATTGTATAGACCTCCATAAGGCCACCACTCAGCATCTGACGCTCCAGGGAAAATAGCCGCAGCCTATTCAGCCTCTCCCTGTAGCTCACACCCTCCAACCCCGGCAACATCATTATAAAGATTTTCTGCACCCTTTCAAGTGTGCAGATATTTCCGAATTCCTACAGGAGGGGGACAGGAACTGAATGCAGTATTCCACTCTTTGTCTGTCGTAAGATTGGCAACTCCTTAGTTTTAAACAGTAACCCTGTATTTCTAGATTCTTCTGTGAAATGAAATATCCTCTCGACATCTACACTGTCACAACATCATGGGCTGAAGGGCCCGTTCCTATACTGTTTTATGACCCTTTGGGATTTTACCTATTTCAATCAAGTCGCCATAAGAGCACTCACCTTCTTCCAGCTCTTAGTCTAGTAAACTTTCTCTGAACTGCTTCCACTGCACCTTAAATGAGGTGACCATTACTTCACACAGTAGTCCAGACATAGCCTCACCAGTACCCTGTATAATGGACTGGGATCAAGGGTTACGGGGAGAAAGCAGGCGAATGGGATTGAGAAGCTTATCATAATGGCGTAGCAGACTCAATGGGCTGAATGGCCTAATTTCTGCTCCTTTGTCTTTTGTAACAAAAACAGCAATTGCTGGCAGAAACTCAACATCTGTGGGGAGAAAGCAGAGTTATTGTTTCGAGTCTGGTGATCCTTCGTCAGAACTGATAGCAGCGAGGGAATAGTGGTTTTGAAGCTGAGGACGAGGTTGGGGTGGATTGTGGAGGGAGATGTGACTGGATAGGTGGAGACAGAGCCCAGAGAGGGGAAGACATGAAAGAGGTAGGTAAACAAGGAGATTATTGATGGTAATCCAGGATAGAAGAGAAGCTAAGTATGTGATAATGAGAGCTGAGAGCAGGAGAGAATGGGAGATAGTAGGAACTGCAGATGCTGGAGAATCCGAGACAACAAGGTGCAGGGCTGGATGAACACAGCAGGCCAAGCAGCATCACAGGAGCAAAAAGGCTGATGTTTCGGGCCTAGACCCTTCATCAGAAATGGGGGAGGGGAAGGGGGTTCTGAAATAAATAGGGAGAGAGGGGGAGGCAGATAGAAGATGGATAGAGGAGAAGATAGGTGGAGAGGAAACAGACAGGTCAAAGAGGCGGGGTTGGAGCCAGTAAAGGTGAGTGTAGGTGGGAGCAGAAAGATTTAAAAGGGACCTGAGGGACAACTGTTACAGTGAAATGCTACAAGTCGCCACTTACAACACCATCTTAGATACAAAGGTACCTAGATATAGATTCTTCATTTCCAGATTAGTTACAGGTAGGATGCTCTTCAGAGGATTGGTGTGGACTCGATGGGCCAAATGGCCTGTTTCCACGCTGTAGGGATTCTATGATTCTCAGTTGAGAGGGTGAAGGGAGAGATTTATCAGATTGTGGATCTTTAGAACATCCTAACCAACAGGGCTATGCCTGCTCCATCGATAGATAAAAGCGAGATATCTGTGGGTTTATGGGCAAGTGCAACTGGGAATGAGCAACAAATACTGGCCTAACCCAAATACCATTAATAGTTTTTTTTAAGATCACCTCCAGGGCCTTTAAGCCAATCCCAGCCAAGCCTGAGGGGATGCTAACCTGGAACCAGGGGCCTCTTATAGATGAGTTGACAACTTTGGTCACTAAGTAAATACAGTCCCGCCCCCTCCCCTATTAACACTGTAAATTGGTGCTGTTGACCCAATTTTAACCGCACATTCGAAGAAAAAATGCAAAGAATTCATAATTCCCAATGTCATGCGCCATTTTCTCATACAGTAAGTCCTCACTTAAAATCATAGTGCCTGAAAAGTACAACCTTAAATGAAACAAATGCTAAACAAATTAATTCCCCATTTTAATCAATTGTCCTTTTCTGCAGGATATTTTGTGTTTGAAAAATTGCTGAATGCCTGTATTTGTAAATAGAATCATTTTAAACTAAAATACATTCTGGAACAGAAAAGAAATGTGTTATAACAAGGTGTAGAGCTGGATGAACACAGCAGGCCAAGCAGCATCAGAGGAGCAGGAAAGCTGACGTTTCAGGTTTGGACCCTTTCTGAAGAAGGTATTTATTACTTGAGAACAGCAGAAGAAAGGCATGTAGACTTTGAGAGACTAAGTTTTAATTTATTTTCTTATTACTTGGGTTTATATAAGTGGGACCTGAGTTTATTGGAACAGCACACCAGTAGAATTTAGTTCAGTTAGGGAATAGTTAAGGGGGAATTGTGTGGTTTGTTAGAAATTCTGTTAATTTGTTCACTGTTAGGGTAAAATAAATAAATTGTAGTTACTTGTAAAATGAATATCAGGGATTTCCTTCCATTTAACCTCCCTTTCTCCATAACAGTTTAACAGATTAGGCAAGGTGAGGTGACCTTCTCTAGGTGTTTCGGGTTTAATTATTAGAAGGGGATGTCTACTCCCACCGTAACAGGTTGGGGGCTTGTGTTTCGATTTTAATTACCAGAGGTGTTTGACCTCCCCTTCCTAACACAACTTTTTCACGCAGAGGGTAGTGAGTACATGGAATGAGCTGCCAGAGGAAGTGGTAGATGCAGGCAAAGTTACAACCATTTAAAAGGCATTTGGACAGGTACATGAATAGGAAAGGTTTAGAAATGCAGCTAAGTGGGACTAGCTTAGTTTGGGAACATGGTCAATGTGGACGAGTTGGACCGAAGGGTCTGTTTACATGTTGTATAACTGTAGGACTCTAAAACTTGGGGGTTCAGGTGCATAGATATTTAAAATGTCACAAACAGGTGCAGAAAGTAGTGAAGGAGGCGAATGGAATGCTTTATATCCAGAGGACTGGAGTGCAAGGATGCTGATGTAATGCTGCAGTTAAACAAAACCCTGTTTAGCGCCCACTTGGAGTACTGTGAGTAGATCTGGGCACAGCACCTTGGGGGTTCTGAGTCCTATTTTATAACTCCAAGTTTTCCCTTCATCTCAGTAAGCAAGGATTTTTTTAGCTTGCAG